AATATACGCGATGTATCCAGTCATTATTTCAAGAATATCCCATCAATGCGATGTATTGAACAATTTAGTGCGAGAAAGACTTACCCAAAGCTCAGCCTTGACATGCTGCGCCTTGTCGGTGAATACCCTGCCATCCCGATCAGGGGCATCGGGGACGGCGGCATAGTGGGCCCACGTGTAGGCCGGTTCGATAGTTCCGCTGAACTGCACCAGGCCAGGGAACTTTTCCTTGATCAAAAGGCCAAGGATGCCGTTCACATGGCGTGCATGATCACCCTCATCGACCTTCCTCCAACCCCTGCCCAAGTGGTTAAGATAAATTATTAGTTTTTATTGTAATTTTGAACATATCAAACGAAAAATTAGTAATAACATATAAAGTTACTTACTTGTCTCCATCGGGTTGAATCAGCGGACATCTCTCAAGAGGTATCGGTCACCTCGGAAGGGGTTGCTGTGCCGCAAACATATCGCAATACGTCTTTGTGGTTGGCTCTGGCTCCTCCTCCCTACGTCCTTCATCGAAGTGTGCTTCATGATAGTCATTTAACATGTCTCCTACACCAGCATCAGCATCATAATCCTCGATGCGTTGTCTCACGACCTCGTCTCTCACATGATCGGATTCACCATGATAGATCCACCGGGTATAGTCTGTCGTAAATACATTCTTGCAAAGATGCTTACCCATGACCACCTTTGTTTGTCGACGCGTGTTTGCACAAATGCTACAGGGACACCAAGTGGCATGCGCTCCTTTAACCCTTGCAAATGCTATTTCCAAGAAAGCATCGGTCTTCTTAATCCATTCATCGGTCAACGAACCCTGACTAGAGCGGCCCGTGTACATCCACTCACGGTTATCCATCCTCTAACATATCAGCAAGTAATATAAAAATCAATTGCATCTACAGGTTCCTACGTGGCGGTCTAATAGGTGAAGATAGGTTCTAATCCCACCCGAGGATATGTAGATGGGGTTAGTTTCCATGCTCTACTTCTATCCGAGACAGAATTTCGGCAGCACCTCCCCGCTGTTCTCCAAATACACGTCCTGATAGGGAGATTGTGTATCCGGAGAACAACAGTGAAATGCTGCCGAAACTCGGATCGGAGTACAGCATGGAAACTAACCCCATCTACACATACTCGGACTGTCCAAAAAACGTGGACAATTCGAAACAGATACGGTTATAGATATGCAAAGATCTGCATATTTCTAACCGTATCTCTTTCAAACAGTAGACACCTAGCTAGGTTATGTGATATATGAACATTATATGGAAAGAGGGGTGTAGAATGCCTCACCTTGCTGTCCTGCAAAGTGACGAGTCGAGGACGGTGGGGAATGATCTTTGCAATAGCCTCTCCTGCAACAAAGAAACATAATAGTGTCAATTGTAAATTTCGGCAGCACCTTCCCTACACGGTGAGGTAACCAAAACCTACAACGAACCAACGGCGCGATGGCCGACAACCACATACACAACAATATAACACTCATCAGATCATCAGATCGAACTAAGAATAAAATCTGATCGAACATCTAGCAATAGCAGGTACTATCCAGACTAGTATAATGCCCGTGCTAACGCAACGGATTTATCTTAGAGACGCACATGAAAACAACAAATGTGTTTTCCATAGTTCAATATAATTGCAGTAGTCATGCTGCAATCTCCAATTCAGTGATTTAGTCTGTAAACCAAGTCTCCAAGGGGGAAAAAAGAAAATTCATGAGTGCTCTTGTGTCCTGCATCAGAAGCTTCACAGGATTTGATGGGGCATCATACCACACACAACCACCGGTGACCACACGAAATTCTACAGATCGTCGGAGTATATCTGCAAACAAAGACAATAGAGATGCTTCTTGCTTGGGAGTAGTAATTGAAAATAAGTGATTTTTGACACACACACAAAAAAAAACAATTTGTATTTTTCTTTTCATTCCTTCGAGCTTTAAATAGAACATGTTGACCTTTGGCACTCACGCCTTTTTGGTTTTACACGGTAACACATTACACATAATTTTAAATCAAATAATTTTTTTATTATTTATAAAATCACATTTTTCAAAAGTATATAAAAAAGAGAATGTGTGTCTATAATAAGATTACAATATCATCGTATTCTATTGTAACGAACATAATTTCATTCCTCCTCATTTTGACTCATACTCCAAAGCTCTAAAGCTGCTATACAATAGGCTACATGACATTAAAAACTCAAGTGGTATGAAGTACATAAACATTTGTAAAGTTAAGAGCTAACATCTCCATATCCCACACCAAACAACTCGCCGAGCTCTGATCGAATCATGTATGTTCAGCTTGCGTTACCATCATCAGAGTCCGTCTCCTTACAACATCTTCCTATTTCTCTCCTACTTCTCACATCCCCATACCAGACTTCAAATCTGTTTTTTAAAGACTTCATACAGTTTTTCCAATCATGGACTTCCATAGGAATAAGCTCAAAAATATGGTGTAAAACATCATTATAATATCATAGCGCCCACATTAAATTGCAATGGTTAGCTACTAAATTTCCGTATAGTACTAAAATGTTGTATAAAGCAAAGTACACTAAAAGAAAGTTTGTGTTTATCCTTACCAAGTGTCTATTTTGGATTTGAAGAATATATATTTTGGATTCATTGTTAGCTAGAACACTACAATTTCCATGACATGATAGCAGTTTTACAGGAAGTATGAAGATAATGAGAACAACATACTTGAGGGGCGAGGGTGTTTGTGCTTGATTTGTCAATCATTTACAAGATCTCTTTATACACACCAAAAAAATAACTAAACAAATACGAGTAGTTACCTTTGTAGGTGCAACAACAGTAGGGAGACTTGAATGTGAAACATGAGTAAGCAACTAAGCATTGTTTCTCGAACTAAGATTTGTCCTTGTTCAGTTATCGTTGACAAAGAAGGTGGTAGTTGTATCTGTAATGAAATGATAGAAAGAAAATATTAGTTTTGCTCTTGGACAAGAGAACACCGGTTCTTATGAACTTAAGTCTGTTCCTTTGCTTACGAGGCTTGGGATAAGTGGCAAAAATAGAGATGTTAATTGCAGGTTGACGAAATGTGTAAATAAAAGATGTAAGTAAATGATACCTTTTTTGGTGACGGTGGCTTTGGATCAACAAGTAAAAAAAAAAAAAAAGATGATGCTGTTTTAGAGATTGCACTATATTATTAATAAGAAAGAATTAGAGAACACTTTACATATGTATAAAATGGCTTCACAAAATCTAACTATTCTATTTTTCTGAATCAAGTCTAGATTTTTAGAATATGACATAGCAAGCCCAAAGCCAGCTCTTTTGGAAATGATTAGCTCTTGTTCATTTGATTGTTCTTAAGGTTCATGAACCAATAATAAATAAAATGTGCATCCAGATCATTACTTTGACATCAGGTATTAGATCATGTTTTCTTTTAAGAAACTGTAAGCTTCCTGATTTATTAAGAGTAAGTTTACACTTGTGAGGAAGGGTATTGTAAATTTTGGGAATAACTATAGCGCCTATATAGCGGTGGAAATACAGTTCATGAAGAGAAAAGCTTAAGGACACCTACTTAACAATGTCATTTTTGTGATCCAACCGAAAGGGCGGACTGCGGTAGAATAGGACCAATTAATCATGAACCCAACGAATCAATCAACAAGCTAAAAGAAATAGAATACCCATCTTGAAGCAAGCATCCGCACGCGAAAGTTGTGCTCACCAGAACCAGGTCCTCCCTCTAAGATCAACGCTCCGATCCGAGTAGTGAGAAAGGTCACCGTCACTTTGATCTGGTACAACCAGTAAATCAAAAGATTATTACTTGCAAAATCAAGATAATACCGTGGAAACTTATGGTCTTGGATGCCAAAGCTTCCACTAATGTCGCAGGAAGCCATGAAGTTCCTCATCAATCCGTGAACGATTGGAAATCAAAGGAGCGGCGTTGGCGGACTAACCTGCAGACCTCAGGGGAGGACAAATAGTGAGAGAGAAGAAGCCTGGCGTAGTCGGTTGCCGCCAACAGCGCCGCCACCCAGGGCTTGGCCGGCCACCGCGTCCGCTCCACAACCTCCACCCCAGTGCAGCCGCCCATTTATTGCTTTCATGAGATCCGCCCAGCGGCGAGGGGGCCTATCGCTCATCTCTGTGAGATCCACCCCCCGACGACCGAATGCACCGCGAGAAAGTGTCGAGGGATCAAGACGCCGGTGTTGGAGAGGAGATGGCGGTTGCTTGCCTTCTCCGGGACAAGACGCAGAGGAGGCCATCGATCGACGCTACACCGGTGGTCGCCATCACTGCGGTCTTTGA